TTTATAAAGAGTAATAGTTAAAAAAAACAAATACGGAGAAAATGTTTAAAAAGTATCAAATTAAAATAAAAGTTTCTCATGACGTTTGAAAAAAGTTAAAAATATAAAATATTATAATAATAATAATAATATATATGATTTATAAGATATGTGTAAACAACGCGAAAATTTAAAATTAACTATAAGATATTGTTTTTTCAAAAATATCCATCTTAAAAGTGGATAAAATTTTGTGTGGCCTACAATAAAGAAAGCCGATTAAAAAAGAAGCATTAAGACAATTCATTATTAGTCGAGAATATTTTGTTACATCCAAAAAAAATAGTCAATTTGTGAACCCACTCCTTTTGAAATCGGTTAAAAATCAAAGTTTTGTGTTTGTACGTTATTTACTAGTGAAGTTTGATAACAAACTTAATATTGTATAAGTTAAACAATAATTGAACCCTTTATCAATTAAAGGTTCGAAGAAAACGGATACTGTCAAAAGCGGCAGTACAAATTGACAAATAATTACAAGTTACCCATGATAACACTTACAATATTTTAACTTGTAAACCGAATCACTCCGATTATAAAGGTTTATAATCACGGTGATTCATTTTACAAGTTCATAATGAAATTATTTTTGTTCGCTTATAATATCCACAAAATTGATCCATTTAGAAAATATGCCCAAGTCACGATGAAATTAGAAGCAGCCTGTAACGTTATTAATGAGTTTCCGATATTGCCTTCGTTCTGCCTCTGAATTTAATAACCTGTCCTAAATTTTAGAAACGGACGCGTTTTTATATTATTATCATCAGCGTTTTTCAATATTTCTTCCGTTGCTTTCTTCAGATTTAATATTTGATAACCAAGTATTCGAAAGCGGATGTGGGTAATATTTGCATCTATTGCCATAACAATTGGTAATCGTTATAAACGATTTTCAAAAGAATGAATCTGTAAATTCGTTTATTTCCTCTACTAGTGATGTCCTGTGGCTTTATCTATATGAATCAGTATATAGAGTATCCTGTGTGCTAAGTTAGAATATAACCTATCCGTGTACCAAATTTAATTCAAATTCATTGAGTAATTTTTGCATGAAAGAGTAATCCATCCATTCATCTTTATAATATTTTACATTTATAATATTAATAGGATGTATATTACGCTATATATTTGTAAAATCCAGGAACGATTTTATTTTTTGATAGATAGGATATTATTATTAAATTTATTAAGTTCGCAGTTTCTTTTTGTGAACTAAAAACTAGATCTTCATAAGACAAATTACTCGGCATTATTCGGTTTCAAGGGCAAGATATAGCAATGAAATGCATAACACCTTAGTCCTTAGGAATGGTAACACATGAAGTGTAATGGAGGACATAGTATACTCTGTTATGCTCATGGTATTGTTCATGTCTATAGGCACCGGTTACCACTTTTCATCAGGTGGGCTGTCAGCTTGTTTGCCATTCAATTGCCTAAAGATTTTTCATTGTTAGACATAACTTTCCTTTACAGAGTATCACACGGAGCAGTTCTACCATCCTGAGTCTATTCTATAACGCATTTGATATTATCTTTCTACCTACATAAAGAGACCGTCTTACCCTCATGAGATAACCTCTTCTCAATAGAGATACGACCTCAAATTAACTAGTTAACTTATAGGGATAACTATTAAAATTATTAATAAGTTTACTTTACGTGTACTCTGAAATACAAACAAGCGATAATCTTTAAACAAACAATTACAATATAAATTAGAAAACTCATACTTTTGAGCTAAAATTGGAATCCTCAGCCCTTAAGTTAAGCTCTGCTATACTTTATATTCTTATATCTATTCATTAAAATGTATTGTTAGTTCATTTAGATTAATTATTGAAACAAAATAATTACATAACTGAGCATTAGTAGGATAATCCAAAAAAGGAATAATTAAACTATTATTATTATTTAAAGTAAAAAAAAATCTTATAAGTAAGTAGTTTGAAGTGAAACATTTTAGTGAGTACTAAAACAATCTTACAAAAAGAGAATTTAACGTAAAAGCACTTTGCTACAGGAAAAGCTAATGTTCGAAGAAACACGCGTGTGTAAATTTCAGGTAAGGATGGATCCGATCTTAGAAAACACAGCTTTATTTCATCTATTGTATTAACTAACGGATATTTTGCAATTGCTGTTTATTAACTTGAAATGTTGTTTCTTTATGTTTCACATATGTCGCAATTTCTTATAATAATGTATGTAACAAAATAAAATTATTTATAATATTTTGTGGGTTTAAAATTAATCGAACATTCTTGACAAAAATACAAGTAGTGAGTCAATCTAGTTTTTTCTTACAGTTAAAATTGTAAACTTTTAACAATGAAATTACATATAATATTACCGAGTGGTTTGTATACTTAATTTTAATAGACAAGTATCTGACAAACACATAAAAATTTTGGCGAAAATTTCAGTTTCAAAATATTAAATCATATACTGATTTAACCCGCGACTTTATCTGCGTGACTAGGATATATTCACTAATTAAAATAAAAAAAGTCTTTCTACTTCTCTATCCCATATAATACCTGTAAACGAAATTTCACATAGACTATTTCAGCCGTTAACGCGCTAAGTAGTAACAAACACACTTTCAAGTTTATAAGTAAATTGTAATAAAATGTATGCACCTGTTGCTGGTGTTGAGCCAATTCAATTCTTTTGATATATTTTTTCCATTATTTTTTTTTGTTTTTCCTTTGATATGTATATTAGTCTCAGAGGAGTCGTTCAACTTTCGGTTGCCACTTTCCATCAGGTGGCTCAACTGGTTGTTTACTTATTCTCAGTAATATGTAACTATAATGTATATATATATGTATAATGTATGTATATATATATATATATATATATATATATATATATATATATATATATATATATATATATATATATATATATATATATATATATATATATATATATATATATATATATATATATATATATATATAGTGTATATACACAGCAAAGGAGCGAATAGGTACCTACTGAAAAATGGTAATTGGTAATTTTAGCTTATGAACATAAACAGCAAAATGAACAGCGCAGAATATACTGTGACTCATTTTGTGTTTCCAATTCCGAAAGCAATGGTATTATACTTTAGTTCCTTGTAATTTAACTCTTATACCCTTCAAATTAAAACATAGTCATATAAGTACGGCTGCTTTATGACAGCTTACAGAAAACCTCGAAAAAACTTGACACGTTTTTCTAAATGAAAATAATTGTAGCAAGTAAGTACGAGTACAAGTATAATTTTACTCACAAAGGAGAAGAGATTGCTTATAATGGGAACTAGCAGCCTTATTGATATCGATATACTCTGTCAGGTTCTCTTGGCAATCGTCGCGATTAATTCTTATAAAGTCGTCAATAGGTCAAATGGTCAGCTTTGTTCTCACCTATAATCCTTCACTGGTGTTCCGCTAGTGTATATCAGTAGCGTAAGCAGGGTACCATTCCATTATCATCTTATAAAATAAATCTTACACGTATTTTTTTGTATTCACTATTATGATAAAATTAACGACGTTTCGTTTATAAAGCTCCATCAAAATGTTTGGGATAAATGTTGCACCAAAATAGTAATATAATATTTTTTACCAATAAATTTGCGTATGATTGGGATATATTAATAGAAGTAAAAAGGAGCATTTGTTCTTTTTAGTGATAAATACTATTTTCATATCAAATTTTATTAGTATATATAATCGGTTGAAACGTTAAAATGCAAAAGGTAACAAAAAAAATTATTGTGTATTTATATTTTATTTTAGTGAGAATGGTAAAGATTATGTAAATATATACTCGTAGACTGGAAACATTATATTTTTGCTAGCATTCATTTTTTATGATCGCCAGTTAAAAAATTACGCCATTAACAAACCTGACAGATGCGTTTGGTATAAATCGAAAAATGTACAGAGTAAATCGATAAATTTATTTTTAAATTGAAGTATTAAGGTGAATGCCATTTTTTATGGGACCATAAAATCATAATGACACTCATGAATCTTAGATAGATATCTCATTAATCAAAATTGCTTTTGGATACAAGGGTATAAAGAATTTGCAGGGTTACATTTTCACGGTTCATAAAATAAGTTACGTTTTATATTTACCCTGAAAAGAGAGAATTTATTTCGTTTTAAGGGATTTACTTTACACTTTTACGTCATGAATAAAGAGCTCTACAGTTGCTCAGTTACAACGTTGCATAAATTAGATTTCCAGTTCGATTCTCAGTAGGCCCATGAAATAATTTTTTGGATATATAGTATATCAAAGAACCTCATATATACGGTTAATCTTCGTTTTAAACCGACTTAAAAAAGAAGGAGATTTTTTATTCAATTGTACTTTTTTATGTTTGTTATCTTATAACTCTGTTAATTATAAATTGATACGTCAAGATTATCATAATTGTAATTATTTTTCTAAGTTAATTAATCTTTACATTTCAATATACGAGTACATGATTTTAAATAAAAAAATATCAGGAAATTAATTTGAAATTTTCTGTAAAGAATTTCCACTCGTTTTCAGTTTTGCTGTTTCAGTTTATGCTAACTAGTATAGTGTAAAAATTGTTGTTTACTATCTGTTAAGTTTAGTAATTGATTCTGTCATGACTATTTTGTATTGCTAAGTCTGTGAAAACCTGTTATTGACTTTTTATTTAAATTATTGTTATTTTAAACTATAAATTGCAAGCTGTTGGTTTTCCAATAAATAAATCACAGAATGTAGTGAGAAAAAATCAGACGAATTGTCTCTTTATTTGGAAGTTTGCTATATGTATTCATTATGATTTACACGTAAAATTCTGCATTCTGCAACTTATAGTTTTTCTATTTCTATGTATAGAAATAAATTTAGTCAATTGAGATTTTGTTAGTTATTATAATTTTAAATAATAATAATATGTTTTTCTTTTTCAGATTAGAGACTTAAAATTCAAATGGGCACCGAAAATATGAAGGTAAGTAGGTGATTTTGTTTTTTTTTCTGTTGTGAAAATATACCAAAGGATTTGTTTATGAGGCCAATAAAAGTTTAAATTCTAATTTTATTTATCTATGATCCTGTCCTACCACGTCCTTTTTCTGTACTCAGAGAGTATCTTATATCAAAGGTCACCCTTTTAAAAGAACTAAAATTACTATATTTGAAAAAAAAACACAGATAGATACAGAATATTATGCTTTGTTTTTCGTTACATTTTTAAATAATAATGAAATATAATAATCATAACGAGATAAAACTCAGAAAACTGATTCAGTGATTATTGAAATATATTATAAATATCAATTTAAAATACATTTTTGTGTATAATACTATATTAAATATATATTATATTAAATTATCTTAAAATAAAATTTCCGGTTTTGTAATATATAAATTATAAGTAAGTTTTTTTTTTATTTTAAATCGTATTTAATATACTAGAAAGAATCTATTTTATTAACCTACAATATTGAGAATAATTATTTTATTAAGAAATTCAAATTTGGGTTTCTTGGGTATTATTCTCTATACACATGATATTCCGAATTGAGTAACAGAATAATAAAAATTGTCATTTTGAAAATAGTAAAATTGTAAAGAAGTTTATTTATATTTCAAATTTTACCTACTTAAATATATTGTCTGCCTGTCCTTATAATAATTAAGCTCTTAATAATTTAGTTTCTGAATATATCTCAGATAATTTTGTACAGAATTAGTACAAGTTAAAAGTATTATGAAAGATTGACGTAGGGGATATAAGAGGCGTGAACGAAAATATTAAAGAGATACTTCCAAGATGACATCTTAGATAGTGGGACAAAAGGACTCGTAAACCAAGTTTTCGGTTCGTAATATAGGTACCTTATCTATCTATATAGACCTAGTAATAACTTTCATAAGTACTTATTTATCTTCGAAGTGTTAAAGGCCTACTTCACGAGAGAGATGTTCTCTATTGTAACGTCAAATTCTTTGTGGTACTGGTAGAGAGAAATGAGTGTAAAATACTGACATACATATCTTGTTTCATCTACTTTCATAAACATTCGATTTTTCTTAAGAATTTAAGAGATTACAAATAAATTTACTATCAGATTTATAATACTAGTAAGAATAAGAAGGAATTCACGCAAAACATCTTCTGATTTCACGAAAAATTTTAATAAAAAATATTCAAGGATAATGTGGTTACATTAATACAAACACGCCCATACATACACATATACTGATATATATATTAGCTACATATATATTATATATTAGCTATTTAAATCATAAAAAATCCTTTCTGTAGGATTACTTATTATTATATTATAAAATAGAACTATTTCTAACCAGCTGTATTAAAGTCGAGATTACCATCGTGTGGTTCGAGTATAGAATAGGTCATCTCTTCAAAATCCCGTGGGTGTTGTAGGAGAAAGAGACTATGTAAACTTAATGGTTGAGATATGGGTCTTAAAATTTTACCAAAACCTATCTGCGTTTGGAAACTACTGACAAATACCCTCAATGGCAAAGGCAGTATAGACTTGACACATCCCACATAGGAGTGGAGCCTTATGTTCAGCAGTGGACAGTTAACGGCTGATATCATGATGTTGAAGTACGTATTAAATATTTACATCATGCTTTTATTATTTTCGAATTTCGAAACATTTGGTTTAGATAAAATTCTTAATCCCTATACACAGAGTCGCGAGAATTACTAGAGAAACATAAATTAAATGCTGTCTACAACCAAGTCGCTACCACCCCGTATTGTTAGTCCAAAAGTTGGTAGCTTTTTGTACATTTTCAATGTTGCGGTTAACATTTACGCTCCCCCATCACTTTGGCAAATTACCTGAGGGCTTTTATGTATTAAAGGAAATTACTTTGTAAATTATCACATAAAGAAGCTATTGATTAACAGAATCCATTTAGTTGATATAAAATTTATTTCTCTTCTGTAATTGTTCAGCATTTTGTATTGTTTGTTAAAAAGTTGATATACTAACTTTCAGGTTAGAGAATAGTAGATTAGAATTAGTGACTAACCGTTGTCCTCAGTTTTGCCTATATATATATATATATATATATATATATATATATATATATATATATATATATATATATATATATATATATATATATATATAAACTTTATTTTTCAATATTTAGGATTTAAAACATAAAAACAAGTATTAATATGTCATTAACAAAAGTTATACTTACTTTGGAGCCCCTATAGAATTTGCTATCTGAAAATGTTGAATAGTCTCTGTCTAGATCTTATCTTATCAGATAATCTAGTTTGCGAACAAATATTTATACTTATTTTAAACTAAGATAGATAAGTATTCAAATTAAGGCTTTTCAATGAAATTCAATTTAGTAATAATTTAAACCTTCTAAGGAACCATTCTATGAGACTATTAAAATACTTTAGTTTATGTGACAAAGGCGCGAAGCCAGTATAAAAATAAGTGACATTTTTACAGAGATTTTACTACTTTCAAGGAATAAAAGTTCACAAAGTGCCAGATCAAACCTTTTAGCTGTACATAAAATTCGAATTGACTCATTTTGGACACCCTTACTCTGCTGCTTTTACTCTAACAGAAAATTTTTTTTTTTTTTTTTTTTTTTTACAACACAGGGGGCAAACGAGCATGCGGCTCACCTGATGGTAAGTGACTACCGCCGCCCATGGTCACCCACAACACCTACGGCATTGCAGGTGTGCTGCCGGCCTTTTAAAAAGGAATATGCTCTTTTCTTGAAGGTTATGTTGTCGTATCGGTTCGGAAATACTGCTGCTGGAAGTTGATTCCAAAGAGTGGTTGTGCGTACTTTATGATAAAAGGAGCAAGTGTTATTTTTTTTTATTACGTAAAAGGTTAATTTGAAGAAAAAAGCATATTGTTAAATTCTTGAAATCTGTCATCTGTTTAAATTGCAATATAAGAAATATGATTAGATTTTTTGATATAGGAATTAGAATTTAACTGAACAATATAAAAAGTAAGATAAAAAGAACAAAAAAAAAACTTTTAATGTCAATACCGGTTTTTCAACCCTTATTAAGTTGGTATCTATTTGTTGAACTTTTGACTTAACCAAACTGCTATACGGTTTCATCGACACTCAGTTATTTATATGATACAAAGTCGATAAGCAAACAAAGAATCTGGATACTGCATACAAAACGATGAGATCGATGACTGCCTGAAACTATTATATCAATAGATGATATCTATAAATGCGCAAATATATATGCGTGGACAGAGCGCTATATTTTTGACATTTGAAACGGAAGAGAAGGGAGAAAAGGGAGTCAGCTCGAATAAAGTGTTCATATGGCAATAAATCAGTCAAGTTTTAAATTAATTGAGGGACGGATGTTAATAACTTTGTTAATAGAACGAAGTTACAAACAAGATGTTAATTAAAAGGTGGGTCTTTTAATTGATATCCAGTATCCAATTTTGCTCAGTAATAATAGGTCATACTATATCATTTTAAGGGACCTTTACCCTTATTCTGGGAGACATAATAAGAGTTAGAAATTAAATGTCCCGACTTAAGCCAATCGGGTCGTCTCGATCTGCCTAGTCGCCGTTATGTCGATCAAGCTATGAAATAACACTTAGGGCAGTAGGGGAACTCAGTCACCTCGATAGCAGTTCTTAAAGATAATAATTAGGAGGGAAGTTTCTTTAATCAATTAATAATTTTAATCTAAAAATATTGTATATTTCTTGCTTTACGTGATTTGATTGGTTTTTATAATTCTCCAGTATACTCTTATTTGATTACTTTTTTTATCAAAGATTTATCATCGTACCGAGATTAGAAATTAAATTATTATTAATAATATAATGCTATAAATTCCAAGGTTTGTGTAGATATTTGAATATTTTGATTTTTATTATTTTATATTCTAATCTTATCCAAATCCAATACAAAACGAACAGTTACTCATAATTTCAAAATTGACATATTAGTGATGTATCATATGGAAGAGATTTTCAGACTATATATATTCCTATGCCTTTATAATTATGGTTTATAATAGAAATATGTAAATATTATAGAAAGAATATAACAATGTTTCTAACTAGCATTGTTTTTCAGAAATTACAAAAAAACTACGATTCATCATATTAACTATATGGTATCTATTTCATAGGAGAAATGCAATGAAACATTTTATCTCATGTATATCTATGTACAAAATCCTTAGCATGTAATTTTTGGCAATGGAGAAATATATAGACGACTCTTTATTCGGTTAGTACTATATTGCACATTTAATCTAGTAACACAAAAAAACAGTAGGATACAGCTAGTATATTATAAAAGAAAAAAAAAAACAAACCACCCACACATAGGCGTAAATTGATCAATTTACGTGTGTAGGTTATTTCGTTTCGCTCATGAATAAAGAATATGCCATATATACGGCGCAGAGGGTACCTCTCTCAAACTGGGGTGAATTTCCACATGATTTACAACAGAACGGTCGAATACACCCAGTAATTAATTGCTTATAATACCTTTATGTCTGCTATAATTAGCATTAACGTGTGCTTTGATCTTGATAATTAGGTAAACAATAAACAGGTTATTAATTTAATTAAAATTCTAAATAAATTAATGTTATGAATGGGAAAGTAAGATTGTTTGTTACCTGTTAATGCTTTAACAGCTTAACCAATCACTATGGAATTTTGTATACACATATAGGATTAAGAAATTTATATGTTAGTTTTATCTTAGTCAGTGAACATATCCCGGTCACGTGGATAAAGTAACCCGCGACTTCATCTGCGTGACCGGGTAAAATACAGTCATATGATCAAATTTTTTTTTAAACAGTCCAGCTGTTGTGTTAGTGTAGGAGACAAGACTTTTTTTATACTTTTTGTTTTAATGAAATTACTGTCTTAATATATTCTATTGATGATATGAAATGGTATGAGATGA